AAAGGCTTAACAAAAGAGTGATACAGAGTAACTCTAAAAAAATTTGACTTTTCGTAGGGCTAAATAAGCGGTCGAATCCGACTGCTTATTTAGTTATTTTACTTATTTATTTACTTATATTTACGTATTTATCGAATCTGATTCAAGTAGAATCCAGTATTTTAAGCCTAAATTAGTACATATATGTACTGTACTTGAGCTAGGAGATATTTGATTTGATTGATTATTTCTATCCTGGGCTCTTCACTGGATTTGTTTTCAACTCCTCTATAGTGACTAGGTTAGGTTAGGTTTTGGGTGAAGGTTAGGTTAGGTTTGAATGACAGGTTGCATTAACTCGCTTCTTCCATGATAGGATATAAATTACTCTGTCTTCGGCACAAGCGTTCCTAACGTGTCCACGTCCATGGTCGTGTCCACATCCACGTCGGCTTCTTGTTATCTTGAGTTATCTTGAGATGATTTCGGGGCTTTTTTTTTTTTTTTTAGTGTCCCCGCGGCCCGGTCCTCGACTAGGCCTCCACCCCCAGAAAGCAGCCCGTGACAGCTGACTAACACCCAGGTACCTATTTACTGCTAGGTAACAGGGGCATAGGGTGAAAGAAACTCTGCCCATTGTTTCTCGCCGGCGCCCGGGATTGAACCCAGGACCACAGGATCACAAGTCCAGCGTGCTGTCCGCTCGGCCGACCGGCTCCGACTGGCTTACTTACCTGCCTTTATCCCTCACATGATACTCGACTCTCTCCTCTACCTCTGATGTCAATTTACCATCTGTTTACATAGCCATATCGGAAGGGACTGAGCTCTGTTAGCCAACAAGACCACAGAGCTCATCATTAAGAGAAGAACATGCATTGTGTCCAGTCCTCTAGCCGGAGGAGAGAGTTCAGTAAGGGGGACATTTAACTGTCCTGGTTGACCAGTCGAGCAAAGAGAAGGCCTGGTCGAGGACCGGGCCGCGGGGACGTTGAGCCCCGAAATCATCGCAAGGAAACCGCAAGGTAACTCCTCTGCATCATCGTAACTCTTTAACACAGCTAGCACCCAATCTAATCTAACGTAACCTATCTGGCGAAAATAAGAGATAAAATATTGGTTTTTCAATACGGTGTGCGCACGAGGGGTGTGACGTCACAGTGACATAACAGTGACATCACTGTGACGTCAGTGTTCCTGCTTGTGCAGGTTTTAAGCCCAACTGGTTGTTGTGAGGCGGCGTGTGTGTGTCATAACAGAGCCCAGACATAGAGTGCCGAGCCAAGAGGCGCCCGAGCTCTAGCTGAGAGTGGAGTGTTAGGGGAGTGCGTTAAAATGAGGGAAATTGGGCATTTTGAGAGGAGAAGCAGCAAATTGGGTTAGAAAATATACAAAATGGGAATCAGAAGACATTTACAGGGGAAGCAGCAGGATTTCCTCCCACGGTGGCATCTCTGGACATGAAGGAGCTGATGTGCTGGCTGCTGAAGACTCTGAAGGCGACCATATTGAACACTTCATTCCCAAAACACAACTACAAATCACGAGGTAGAACCAGGCAACATCACCGCGACAAGGATACTGAGGAAATGAGGATAGAAGAACGAATCAGTGAATCTGTACGCTGGTACAATGCGGTTGCAGCTGGCAGTCCCAATCATTATGGACGAAGAGGAGGTGGCCGCGGAAGAGAATCGGTAATAGTGAGAATTCGTCTTGGATACAAATATCCATGGAGATTCGGGATGGAAACAACAGTTGAGCAGCGGAGTTGCAGAATCTGTGGTGAGAGTGACGGACACCGCCTTGACCACTATTTGAGAGAGTGTGGACATCTGAGAGACATTAGAAATATGTGTAGAATAATAAACCCCACATTGTTTGAGTTAGGAAAACACTATTTGTCAAATATTGATATTGTTCTTAAATGATATCCCCATTTTGCACCCGCAAGATAACGTAAGTTTAAGGATTGGCTAATGTTAATCTTGTTTGATAAGCTGTTCACTTAAGGAGACAGTTAAGCAAGTCCCAGCCGTGTTTGGGTACAAGTGACAGGATGAACAACCCAGCGGGATTTCTTCCTATTGGGGAGTGTTGTACATGCTGCTATGGCGGTGTGTTCACTCCCAGGATGAGTGACGCTGCCCAATACTGTCACTATGGCGGTGTGTTCACTCACAGGATGAGTGACGCTGCCCAATACCGTCACTATGGCGGTGTGTTCACTCCCAGGATGAGTGACGCTGCCCAATACTGTCACTATGGCGGTGTGTTCACTCACAGGATGAGTGACGCTGCCCAATACCGTCACTATGGCGGTGTGTTCACTCCCAGGATGAGTGACGCTGCCCAATACCGTCACTATGGCGGTGTGTTCACTCACAGGATGAGTGACGCTGCCCAATACCGTCACTATGGCGGTGTGTTCACTCACAGGATGAGTGACGCTGCCCAATACCGTCACTATGGCGGTGTGTTCACTCCCAGGATGAGTGACGCTGCCCAATACCGTCACTATGGCGGTGTGTTCACTCCCAGGATGAGTGACGCTGCCCAATACCGTCACTATGGCGGTGTGTTCACTCACAGGATGAGTGGCAGGCGGTGTGTCCACACACAGGATGAGTGACGCTGCCCAATACCGTCACTATGGCGGTGTGTTCACTCACAGGATGAGTGACACTGCCCAATAATTAAAAAAAAAAAATACATTATTGGTGATACAACTGGAGTAAATACATGGTTACGGGGCGGTAATAGTGTATAAGGAAGAATATGAGTGGAAGGGGGAGGAGAATGAGGGGAGGGGGAAGAGCAGTATGAAGGGGCAGGAGGAGCAGACAACTTGTGAAGGAGGAAGAGAAAGGAGCGCAGCATTAACAAGAAGAGGAGGAGTGAGTGTTGTCAAGTAGAGAGGAGGTCAAGTGGTCCTCCTGCTCCGGATAACAGCACGCTCAGCTCTCCACAGCTTCCCGCCTCGCAGCATCACTGTGGGGGGAGATACCTGGCCTCTCCCGCCTCGCAGCATCGCTGTGGGGGAAGATACCTGGCCTCTCCCGCCTCTCAGCATCACTGTGGGGGAAGACACCTGGCCTCTCCCGCCCCTCAGCATCACTGTGGGGGGAGATACCTGGCCTCTCAGCATCACTGTGGGGGGAGATACCTGGCTCTCCCGCCTCGCAGCATCGCTGTGGGGGAAGATACCTGGCCTCTCCCGCCTCTCAGCATCACTGTGGGGGAAGATACCTGGCCTCTCCCGCCTCTCAGCATCACTGTGGGGGGAGATACCTGGCCTCTCAGCATCACTGTGGGGGGAGATACCTGGCCTCTCCCGCCTCGCAGCATCGCTGTGGGGGAAGATACCTGGCCTCTCCCGCCTCTCAGCATCACTGTGGGGGAAGATACCTGGCCTCTCCCGCCTCTCAGCATCACTGTGGGGGGAGATACCTGGCCTCTCAGCATCACTGTGGGGGGAGATACCTGGCCTCTCAGCATCACCTCCACACGTCAGCGCTGATGGTGTTGGTAATGCCGGTGTGTTGTCGACTCGGAGTTGTAACTTGGGTCGAGTCGAGACTCGCTGATGAGGCTGGTGCTTAGAGCGTTGAGGGAGGGTAGTTGGCCGCACTTAGCCGAGTCTAAATTAATATATATGAGCATTAAGATGCTGCTCTCGTCACAGCCGTCACACAAGGTGCTGCTGCTCGCGTCACACAAGGTGCGTACAACTCTTCATTTACAACGTTGTAACTGTGTTCGAATAGTTGTGGTTAGGTTGTGTGTTTACTAATGTGTCTCAGCAAAGTTTTTTTTTTCCATCCAGTCCTTCATTATTCACTGATTGATGAAGATTAAGCCACCCAAGCGGTGGCACGGGCATGAATAGCCCCGTAATCATTATTCACTATGAAGTGCCTTGTTAATAGCTCACGAGTGAGGATATTTGGGGTGTGTTGAAGAGGGGGTAGGGGGGGGGGTTTGGATGAGGTGAACCGGTATATGTGATGGTTATATAATCCTCACCTTGACTAACTTAAGCAATTTGCATTTCATCAGCTTGAAATTGTCGCAGTTTGCCAGATAACTGCATTAACTGCCCCGTTCACCTGTAATTTGTAGATCTCCTTCCAGGTGATGTAGGTGACGAGAGAGAGAGAGAGAGAGAGAGAGAGAGAGAGAGAGAGAGAGAGAGAGAGAGAGAGAGAGAGAGAGAGAGAGAGAGAGAGAGAGAGAGAGGAGAGAGAGAGAGGAGAGAGAGAGAGAGAGAGAGAGAGAGAGAGAGAGAGAGAGAGAGAGAGAGAGAGAGAGAGAGAGAGAGAGAGAGAGAGAGAGAGAGAGAGAGAGAGAGAGAGAGAACCCAAACGTCTCCACCCAAAAATAACTCGTTTTGTGAGGGGGACAGGAATAGAGAGAATCATACTAAAAATGCTCTGATGAAGGCGAAATTAGCTGAAAACGCGTTTAGCATTCTCGGTTTTTCACATGTGGGTTTTTTCCGCATACTCGGATCAGTGATTTTGTAATCGAATCACAATCCACATTTTGTTATAAATCCCGAGATAAAGCCAACTACACTATCCTAATCTATCATAGGCCTACTGTAGTACAAATATGAACTACAGTATGCCTATGATTGTATATTTTAGGCCGAGGATTTGTTAAATTTGGCCTAGTGAAGTTATGTTGTTAGTTTGGTACTTGCAGCATACTTGGTATTATGATTGGTACTTGCAGCATACTTGGTATTATGATTGGTACTTGCAGCATACTTGGTATTATGATTGGTACTTGCAGCATACTTGGTATTATGATTGGTACTTGCAGCATACTTGGTATTATGATTGGTACTTGCAGCATACTTGGTATTATGATTGGTACTTGCAGCATACTTGGTATTATGATTGGTACTTGCAGCATACTTGGTATTATGATTGGTACTTGCAGCATACTTGGTATTATGATTGGTACTTGCAGCATACTTGGTATTATGATTGGTACTTTGCAGCATACTTGGTATTATGATTGGTACTTGCAGCATACTTGGTATTATGATTGGTACTTGCAGCATACTTGGTATTATGATTGGTACTTGCAGCATACTTGTTAATGATCTCTAATATTCCTATAGTATAATACGCGGTCTGTTATAAGGTATAACTAACGATATAGCAAATATTTTGAACATTTTGAACATTTTGAACATTTTGAACATTTTGTACATTTTGAACATTTTGAACATTTTGAACATTTTGAACATTTTGAACATTTTGAACATTTTGAACATTTTGAACATTTTGTACAGATATATATATATATGTCTCTAAACTGGAGCTGGGCTCAAAATTTTTTTAATGGTTGTGGTAAAGATGGTTGTGGTAAAGATGGTTGTGGTACAGATGGTTGTGGTAAAGATGGTTGTGGTACAGATGGTTGTGGTAAAGATGGTTGTGATAAAGATGGTTGTGGTAAAGATGGTTGTGGTAAAGATGGTTGTGGTAAAGATGGTTGTGGTAAAGATGGTTGTGGTAAAGATGGTTGTGGTAAAGATGGTTGTGGTAAAGATAAAGATGGTTGTGGTAAAGATGGTTGTGGTAAAGATGGTTGTGGTAAAGATGGTTGTGGTAAAGATGGTTGTGGTAAAGATGGTTGTGGTGATGGTAAAGATGGTTGTGGTACAGATGGTTGTGGTAAAGATGGTTGTGATAAAGATGGTTGTGGTAAAGATGGTTGTGGTAAAGATGGTTGTGGTAAAGATGGTTGTGGTAAAGATGGTTGTGGTAAAGATGGTTGTGGTAAAGATGGTTGTGGTAAAGATGGTTGTGGTAAAGATGGTTGTGGTAAAGATGGTTGTGGTAAAGATGGTTGTGGTAAAGATGGTTGTGGTAAAGATGGTTGTGGTAAAGATGGTAAAGATGGTTGTGGTAAAGATGGTTGTGGTAAAGATGGTTGTGGTAAAGATGGTTGTGGTAAAGATGGTTGTGGTAAAGATGGTTGTGGTAAAGATGGTTGTGGTAAAGATGGTTGTGGTAAAGATGGTTGTGGTAAAGATGGTTGTGGTAAAGATGGTTGTGGTAAAGATGGTTGTGGTAAAGATGGTTGTGGTAAAGATGGTTGTGGTAAAGATGGTTGTGGTAAAGATAAAGATGGTTGTGGTAAAGATGGTTGTGGTAAAGATGGTTGTGATAAAGATGGTTGTGGTAAAGATGGTTGTGGTAAAGATGGTTGTGATAAAGATGGTTGTGATAAAGATGGTTGTGATAAAGATGGTTGTGGTAAAGATGGTTGTGATAAAGATGGTTGTGGTAAAGATGGTTGTGATAAAGATGGTTGTGGTAAAGATGGTTGTGGTAAAGATGGTTGTGATAAAGATGGTTGTGGTAAAGATGGTTGTGGTAAAGATGGTTGTGATAAAGATGGTTGTGGTAAAGATGGTTGTGGTAAAGATGGTTGTGATAAAGATGGTTGTGGTAAAGATGGTTGTAGGAACAGAGGAAAGTGTTAAGTTAATAAGTAGTTCACTGTTGTTGTGGAATTAATATTGACTGATATGTGTGTGTGTATTTACTATTTGTGCTGCCTATTTTGCCTGTACAATCGAGCTATTAGCTCTTGGACCCCGCCTTTCTAACCAATCTATTTTTTCTCTCTTATATCTACGACATATATTTCTCTCTAACACACACATACACACACACACACACACACACACACACACACACACACACACACACACACACACACACACACACACACACACACACACACATACCTAGGGGTCTGGTAGCTGAGCGGACAGCGCACAGGACTCGTAATTATGTGGCCCGGGTTCGATTCCTAGATCAGGCAGAAACAAATGGGCAGTTTCTTTCACCCCCTGATGCCCCTGTTACCTGGCAGTAAATATGTACCTGGGAGTTAGACAGCTGTCACGGGCTGCTTCCGGGGTGTGTGCGTGTGGAGGAGAAAAAATTAGTAGTTAGTAACAATTGATTGATTGCCTATTGAGAGGCGGGTCGAAAGAGCAGAGCTCAACCCCCGCAAGCAACTAGGTAAATACAACTAGGTGAATACACACATCCCCAGAAAGCAGCCCGTAACAGCTGTCTAACTCCCAGGTACCACTTTACTGCTAGAGGGAACAGGTGCATGAGAGTGAAAGAAACTGCCCATTTGTTTCCGCCTCCGCCGGGAATCGAACCCGGGCCATTAGGACTACGACCCCCCGAGCGCTGTCCACTCAGCCACGAGGCCCCTTGTGTGTGTGTGGGTGGGGGTGGGGGGGTACTTAAGGTCGACGCTGTACTGTTTGAATGATGACCTGAATAAGCCTAAAGTAGATATCGCCTTATGAATTGTAAGGCTTCTCTCTCTCTCTCTCTCTCTCTCTCTCTCTCTCTCTCTCTCTCTCTCTCTCTCTCTCTCTCTCTCTCTCTCTCTCTCTCTCTCTCTCTCTCTCTCTCTCTCTCTCACACACACACACACACACACACACACACACACACACACTCTCACACACACACACTGTAGGGGCCGGTGGCTGAGCGGACAGCACGCTGGACGCGTGATGCTGTGGCCCAGGGTTCGATTCCGGGCGCCGGCGAGAAACAATGGGCACAGTTTCTTTCACCCTGATGCCCTGTTACCTAGCAGTAAAAATAGGTACCTGGGAGTTAGTCAGCTGTCACGGGCTGCTTCCTGGGGTGTGTGTGTAGTGTGGGGAGAAAAAATAGTAGTTAGTAACAGTTGATTGGTTGACAGTTGAGAGGCGGGTCGAAAGAGCAGAGCTCAACCCCGCAAGCAGAACTAGGTGAATACCCACATACATATACATACTGAAAAAGAGCGAACGTTCGGGATTCACTTTCCACGGACCCGGGTTCGATTCCTGGCCAGAAACAAATTGGCAGTTTCCCTCGCTTGATGCCTCCTTTTTCATGTAGGTAAATAGGTACCTGGGCGTTAGGCTGCTGCTACGGGCTGCTTCCTGGGGATGTGTGTGTGTGTGTGTGTGTTTGAGCCTGATCAACCAGGCTGTAATTCATATGTCCTCCGACAGCCTGTTTGACCAATCCAGCAACCAGGAGGCCTGGCAGAGGGACCGGGCCGCTGGGACGTTGAGCCTCGAAATCAGAGCAAGGTAGGAGAGAGAGAAATATATGCAGTAGATATCATAGAGAGAAAAATAGGGCATTGAGTTAGCACAATAGACAACCGACGGATAGAAAGGCGGGGTCCAAGAGCTAGCTAGCAGTTCGATCCTACAGGCACACGAATAGAAAATTCACCCATACTTCTGTTTCACTTTTATAACTAGTTAGTACCTCTCTCTCTCTCTCTCTCTCTCTCTCTCTCTCTCTCTCTCTCTCTCTCTCTCTCTCTCTCTCTCTCTCTCTCTCTCTCTCTCTCTCTTGTACAGCTAGTTCAAATTGTTGAGCAAACTGCACACTAGAAATTCAAATTCAAACTTGGTTCAAATTCGTCCTCATCTGAATAGATGAGGATGAGGAGACACACTGGATGAGGAGACACATTGGATGAGTGCTCAATCATCCAGGGGGTCTCACTCACTCGATTCTCGAGTAAGCTTCACTCACAACCCCTCACCATCCCTCTCATTCCCCCCCCCTCACTGTCCCTCTACCCCCTCATCATTCCCCCTCACATTACACATTCAACCCATTCCCCCCCCCCCCCCCTTCACCTCCCTTCTCCCCCTTCCCCCGCCACGCCTGGACAAATCTGGGAGCTGGCGTAGTAGCCTCCAATAGTATGGTAATTGTTTATAAATGGAACGATTGGGCGCTTGATGGCCACTGGGGGGGAGGGGGTTAACAACGGTGGGGGGGAGGGAGGGGGTGTTTAGCTGGGGTAGGGGAGGGGAGGCCGTTGTGACGGTTGATGCTGAGACCGTTGTGACGGTTAGGTGGAGACCGTTGTGACGGTTGATGCTGAGACCGTTGTGACGGTTGGGGTGGAGACCGTTGTGACGGTTGATGCTGAGACCGTTGTGACGGTTAGGTGGAGACCGTTGTAACTTTAGGTTGGGGTGGAGACCGTTGTGACGGTTGGGGTGGAGACCGTTGTGACGGTTGATGCTGAGACCGTTGTGACGGTTGATGCTGAGACCGTTATAACGGTTGATGCTGAGACCGTTGTGACGGTTGATGCTGAGACCGTTATAACGGTTGATGCTGAGACCGTTGTGACGGTTGATGCTGAGACCGTTGTGACGGTTGATGCTAAGACCGTTGTGACGGTTGATGCTGAGACCGTTATAACGGTTGATGCTGAGACCGTTATAACGGTTGATGCTGAGACCGTTGTGACGGTTGATGCTGAGACCGTTGTGACGGTTGATGCTAAGACCGTTGTGACGGTTGATGCTGAGACCGTTATAACGGTTGATGCTGAGACCGTTATAACGGTTGATGCTGAGACCGTTGTGACGGTTGATGCTGAGACCGTTGTGACGGTTGATGCTGAGACCGTTGTGACGGTTGATGCTGAGACCGTTGTGACGGTTGATGCTGAGACCGTTGTGACGGTTGATGCTGAGACCGTATATAATGAATGCAACATAATACACTGAATATAATGCATACAACACTGTACATTGACTACAATGCGAGCCAGCTAATAATATATCAACGTAGCCAAACATTGATGTTTTCGACCCAATCTTGAAAACCTTCGAGCGAGTTCGCTTTTAAATCCAAACTTATCGAATACGAATCCTTTGTTGCGTTTTTGTTTTTTTTTTTTTTTCTTTTTTCCAGTCCGTTCTTATGAGGGTTTCCAAACGTCAAGAAACTGTCGTACCACAGTGCCCTTATCTTAACCTGCCAGAGGACCCACAACAGAAAACGTAAGTGACTTTCGCGAACCACCATATCATTTTCTAGTACGACAATTTTTGGTCCCTTAGGTTAGAGTATACGTCAAAATTGCGACGTTCTAAGAACAGGTTGGATATTTTTTAGCATGCACATTGCATCCCCCCCCTATTATTTAAACTATATTCTTAAGCATATGGCAACCCCTCCCCCCCCCCTTTTTTCCACAATAGGAGGTTCCTTATTCCCAAGATTAACTTAGTCTCTCCTTCTCTGTATGCTTTCTGGAGATTGTATTCTAAATATTGTATTCTAAGATATTGTGTTCTAAATATTGTATTCTAAGATATTGTATTCTAAATATTGTATTCTAAATATTGTATTCTAAGAGATATTGTATACCTTTGCTGTGATACGGGTTGCCAAACTGGTCTGAATTATTTAGGGCTGGGTTTATAAGGTCAAGATGAGGATGACAGATAACAGAGGAATTTGTATTATATTTCTAGATATATAAATTTTGGTACACTGTTACTCAAATTTCTAATATTATACATTTTATTTATGTTATTTTTTTTAATATTCTTAACCCCCAAGATTTTTTTTTTTTTTGCAAGCAGACGTGGTCATTGTTGGCAGGATGTCTGGGGCCAGATTCACGAAGCAGTTACGCAAGCACTTACGAACGTGTACATCTTTTCTCAATCTTTGACTGCTTTGCTTACATTTATTACACAGTTTACAAGCATGAAAATATCCCAATCAACTGTTGTTATTGTTATAAACAGCCTCTTGGTGCTTCGGAGCACATTAACTGTTTAATAATTGTAAACAAAGCCGCCAAAGATTGAGAAAAGATGCACAGGTTCGTAAGTGCTTGCGTAACTGCTTCGTGAGTCTGGGGCCTGGTCCCCAGGTCGAGCGGTGGTGATGGTGATGATGTTACTGATGATAGTCGCAGTGGGAGTTGTGTTGGCATCAGTGATGAGGGGTAGAGTGTGGTGCGCGTGTTGACACTTGCCTGTCAGTGTCTTCGGACAAAGGAGATCTATCTCTTTACGCTCCACCTACCAGCCTTGCTGTACCGGTTGCGTTACGATATAACTATTCTGACGTTCGAATTCTTTGTCGAATCTGGCCTTAAAAGATGTGGGTGGAGGTGGCTTCCACAATTTCTTCTTTCAGGTCATTCCACATGCCGACCACCTGTACAGGGTACGAGTATTTCCTTACATTCCGTCGACTCCTTTGCGTTTCCGGCTTCCACTTATGTCCTCTCGTTTCAAACAGGTCACCAATCCGTTACCTGCCGATGATTTCGATGGTTCCGAGGTTGAATATGTCCCCTCCTGGTTGCTGGACTGGTCAACCAGGCTGTTGAAAGCGGCTATACTCGCAGCTTGACGTATGAATCCCAACCTGGTTGATCAGGCATCCTTTGAAGGTGTTAATCAAGTTTTCTTTTGAACACTGTGAGAGATCAGCCGGTTAAGCCACTTATGTGTAAGGGGAAGAGTGTTGAAAAGTCTTGGGCCTTTGATGTTGATAGTTCTCAGAGCGTACCTATTGCACCTTCGCCTTTGAACGGGGCTATTTTGCACATCCTGCCATGCCTCCTAGTCTCATGTGGTGTTGTTTCCGTGTGTAGATTTGGAACCAGGCCTCTTAG